GTTCTGTTGCTAAATCAGCCTAATAAATACATTGCCCAACATCGCAATTACAAAAAGTATGTCCACAGCTGAAGCCTCCATAAAATGCACATTCCGCAACATGAGCAGATGTTGTGGTGTAGTACTGCATAACGTATCCACAAAACTGTCAAGAAAACCGATTCCCTTCAATCTAATTTTATTTCCTATTCTGTGAATTCTTTTTCTTTCACATGCATAACATCCCTAGACATCAGTGTACTTAATACATTAATCGTATTTTCACCGGCTGCACAATCAAAAGTTAAACAAAAATTCTGTGTTAAAGTAACATTACTCTCCTTTTCGAAGAGCCCTTTTACCCTGGAGAGATGGTTGCAGGTCACGAGCTGAACTCACTTTGCACATCGAATATGATTATTCAAAACGCTTTACTGAGACTCTGTGAGAAAAGAGGAAGCTTTCTCGGAGCCTGCCAACCGAATATAAGATTGCGTTCTATTGGGAAACCCGGATTTGCAAAACTGTTCTCGTGAACGGCGGTCTTTTTTTGCTAATTATGCGCGCGCGCAAGATCACTGTTCATAAGGACAGTCAGTTTCAAATCCCTTTTCGGATTTCCCAATCGAACAGTCAATAGGAAATCCAGAAACAGATTTCTCAGCGTTGAAATCCGTTTTTGGATTTAGCGTTTTTTTGCAAATCCGAAATCCGGATTTTAAAATCTAAATCCAGATTTCCCAATCGAACGCACTCTAAGTATTGGACAACCAGTCATTTTCCATTCCAACACCTTGGAAATGAAAACAACTTATGTCCAACATCCACTGGATGCAAAAAACGCGGCCGTAATAAATTATACCTAACAGACATAAAACGAAGACGTCAATTCATAAAATCTGCTATGAGAGGGAGGGCTTGCCAGAGGGTTATAAATTAAAGGGGGATCCTCTTTAGATCTCATATATCAATTTATTTTTCTCCACTAGGGAAAAAGGTACGTACATGCAGAGTCCATAACCAGGTATTAACTAGAAACTAAGGCAAAACTGGCTGATAACAAAACAATTCTTTATGAGGAAGCTTTAAACGGAAAAAGACAAAGATTGAATTAAAAAACCAAATTTGAATTGTTTTTGTCAACAACCACCGCTTAAAAAAGGGGAAAGAGAAACTGTGCGTTATTATACTTGATTTGTCAAATTGATAGTATCTGCGAAAAACGTCGCTGTGCATCACCTTTGTTATCAGTCCCGATTATTTGCTTAATTTCAAAATAAATTCGTTGGTACTTACACAAGTTAATCTAAAGGGGTTCGGCTTAACATACTGACACGGCAGAATCTTCGTCACACTCTGTTTCACTCTTGAGTCAGGCCAGGTTGCCATTGAAAACAACTGGATCGTCCTTTTGTCCTATGATTGGATATTCAGATTGTTTTTTCATTTTATTTACACTATGTTCAAGTATTAAGAACGTAACAGCGAAATTGTTTCCCATGATGTGAGGTAAACTTCCCGCTCAGAATATTGTAGATACGCCTAGTATCACGCCAGATTGCTTGCTTGGCATGTGCAGATCACGTGTATGACCATTGATCATACTAAGCGGAGGGCATGAACAACCATCGTCAGTCCCGTGTAGCGGAGATGCAGTAACTCATTCACTCATCATAATCTAGTAAAGCGCTGTCTTCACTATGACCACTGCGAGACGTTAAATTATTCTGAAACAGAATTTAAAACGAATACGTTTGTCACGAATTTCTAATTTTCCACCCTTTGGAAAGACTGCATTAATCGGGTGAGATCTTTGTTGAGCATGTGCTGCTTGTTGCTAAGACACAGTTTCCAACCCACGTCTGCGCTTGTTACAGCGGGCACAGCGGTTTATCAATAAACAGATGCTCGCACTGGAAAAACCAGTTTGAGGAGAGAGAACAAGTTAAACTGGTCCAGAAGTTCGGGGTTCGGAGACTTCAAAGGCTTAACGCTTTTCAAGCACAGCCTCCAAAGGAAGACAAAGAGGTTGTGCTCTCCGGGTGCTAATTTTCAGGCACAATCTGACCAATGTTACTAAACAACAACAAACGCTGCCATTCTAAAGACCTTACAGGCTGCAAAGAAATCGTTTTACTCGACCTTTTAATCACAAAATGGTAGACTTACGAATGATAGTAACTAAAACACGCCTACAAGTAAATGGCTTACTCAAATATAACTGCTCCACGGAGGGAAACTTATCAAGAAGATTTAACGAAAAAAAAATTCTTGGTATTAGTATCCCTTAATGGCCATTGACATCGGGAATGGAACTATGTGTTGTCAGAGATAACAAAGTTCAATTTTGTGAAAACTATTATGTTTTGATCCAAAACAATGTACGCTAAGGAAGGCTAATACATGTACAAAACAGAGTTCCATGCACTTACTCTGCTGGACTCC